AAAATGCTGCTGAAAGCCTCTGAATGTATTATGCATCCTGGTAGACATGGTAGTGATTGTAACACTGCATTGTAGACAAATGTTAAAGAAACTTGGCAAGAATCAACACGATTTAGCTACTCAAAATTCAGATTTTCTCAGTCTTGTCCCCTTCTGATGAATGGAACATATGGGAGTATTGTTCATAAAACTTGCATTGCTTTTCTCGATGTCTACCAAAGTTCCTCATCATGACAATATTTACCAAGATACATATAGATTCAAATTTGAATTAATTACCTAAAAGTTTTTCTGTACTCCCAGGTTTACTGGAAAAGAAAAACGCTACAGAAGCAATGTGTTGTGAGTATTTAACAGTAGATGTTATAGCAACAGAGGTAGTTGAGTGCTTGCTGGCAAAGGCAGCTATCCAGTTAAAAACCATCGATGCTGAGTGAGATAAAAGACAGAAAAGAAAGTGACTACTTTGCCAAGAAGCAGTTTGAAATATGACATTATAAACAACACACATGTAAATCTACACATAAATCCTCTCTTGTATGCTGAAGGCTCTGTAATATTTTAGCTATTGTTACTTCCATACAAACATTTCCTGAAGTACAGCATCACTAGTGCAGAACAGCCTTTAACCTTGTGTTCATTCATTCAGGAATCATGTTATTTATTATCCTTTATCCCTTAATTATGGGGACCTCACCTACTGCTCTCTGCTCATTTGAAATGCAGAATAAAATACAATGGATGTCTGAAGACTTAACAGGTGTCAACCAGATATTTGCCAGCTACTGCTACTATTCTACTGGGAGGAGTTGCTGTTCTATAAATACTAATTAGAGTTTTGCACATGATCTTGCTGAAATACCTAAGGTGATGAGTGGCCAGTTGTTACTTTTAAAAGATTAGCACAATTTGAAAAACTAATGTCCCCAATGAGGCAATGCTCACACTGAATAATCAAGAGTTATAGCTGTTCTCTGCCCAAAGGGAATATTTGCTCACTTCATCATTTGGAAAATCTGCTGCCTCTCGAACAAGTCACTCTTCTATTTCACTTTGAGAAAGTTGTAAAACTTCGCAGAATCAATATAATAGTACAGTACGTGTACTTAAATGGTCTTCCACTGCCATGCCCACATGGTAGGCTTTACTAATAGCTTCCAGGAATGATGTTTCTGGTGTGAAATGATTAAGAAACTGCAACCAAAGTCATGCTTGAATGAAGCATAAAAAAAGGATTACAGTAGAAACTGTATTAGCATAGTAAAAAATTAATGTCATCTAATTCATCTCCCCTCAAATTCTTCATCTCCACAAAACAATCCAAAAAGACCCAAGCAAAAAAGGTTTACATTCAGTTTATATATTTGTATTAGTCATTACCAAGAAAAAAAAATAAACTAAATACCTAAAATCTTGGTGTAATATATCCACATGACCAGATACTTTTAAGAAAAAATGTTAAGTGACTACTTGCAGCGCATTCCACTGGCTTGAAATAAAACTTAAACTTTTGTCTTGGAAAAAAAAAAAAAAAAAAAACCACTGATGTAACATTGTATGACAACACTGCATTTCTATGTATGAGCTGCAGTTCAATGCAGTGAGATTTGAGTGATGTAACTGACACAGCCCCATACTATTTAATGTCAAAAAAGTACATCCACAAAGAAAGAAAAGAAAAAAAAAAACACACAGAAGAATAGGAAGAGGGACTCAGAAATCAACTTCTTATTTTTTGCCTCTACCCCTCTGGGAACGAATATTCAGTAAAACCATCACTGTGTATGTGGAACATAGATATCTTTTCAATCAAATTTTCTGGTTTTCTTTTTAAATATAATCTATTTCTTTACCATGAAATCTGTTTTTTCCTTATCCTTCAGCATACTGCTTCCTCTTTTTAAGTAGCTCATTACTGGAAATGTTTGGCCTTACTTCAAAAGAGAAGAATATGTCAACACCAGAACATCTGTGTCCACATAGAGTGCTTTGATGACAGTGATATACTCCATTTACATCAGTAACACTGAGTTGAACCTTGATGCTGACTGCATTTAAAGATCTTACCCCACAGGGCAAGAGAATACAGGTCAAAAACTGTTGATCTGTGTTTGACACACTCTCTATTTCAAGAGCACTTTGCAGTGATTTGTTCCAGAGTCAAGAATCAAACTCGCAAAACGTTGCAAAGCTTGGAGCCATGCTTACATGAACACATTCAAAACAAACATTAAAATTCACAGTCCCTGGAGGCCAATCTACTTCTGATACACAGGGCTTTTCAAGATATATGGCCAAATTCTATCCTGAATATAGTGGGGACTTTATTTAAATAAGAGGTGCATAACACTGCTCAAATGCAAAAAGAAAAATTGACACATCATAAAACTTAAACCTGTATTTAAAAATGGAGTGGAATAGCTGTGTGTGACACAACACTGCTTCTGTCAGCATGGCTAGGGGAAGGTGGGAGAATTTCACTACAAATCACATGCCTCCACAGGCAGGTACAATAAGGATGTGTTCCTCAAATATTTAGTACACGAGAGTTCATAGATGAAGGACTGAGCTCTGTTACAGGATATTTGTAGAGCCTGGCTTCTCATAGTTTTATTTCTTTAAACTTGATTTTAAAATTTGTGTGTTTCCTCATCTTCCCATAATTAATATATCTTCTAATTTAATTACATTAAATAAAAAACATTTTTTCTAATTTAATTACATTATACCCATGTAAATACTATGTGGATTTAAAACTTAACATAAGGTGAAGAGTTTCAAGTGTTAGTCTTTTTCCACAATTCTGAATCCTGAGTATCCTCAATCCTGAATCTTGAGTATCCTCATGTAAAATTCCGGACTTTTACAGCAGTGAACAATTCAGTATTGCTTACTAGACGAATTTATACAAAGTGCCATACAGGACCAAATCAATGCAAGCCATATGTTGCCTTACTCACATTTAAGGACTACAAGTACCTGTATGCTGTATTAAGAACTTGGAAGTACAAGAAGTACTTGGAAATCCCATTTCATTTCAGCAAACAGAGAAGCAGAAAATTTTATTTACAGATTTCCCTGGAATACCATGGAAACAGATACAGAAGTAACTGCAAAAAGCATAATCCAAGTGGAAGACATCTTTAACAGAAAACACATATCCAAAAATAATGCATGCGTTTTCCCACTTGGAAAATATACATATAACTCCTATTAACATCAAGATAAAAATTATACTGAGGACACCAACATGACTGAGGCCCCTGGTAATAACATGAATTAAAACACACCTTCCAAGTTCAGAACAACACTTTCATACATGGACTAATAGGAAAATAAAAAATGTATTTTAATATTAAGATTTTTTAAAGAAATAAATTAGAGCTAGGATTTCTGAAACAGAACTAAAACTAAAGTATGGTTGTAGCCATGTAAAAGGAAGCTTCTAGGCACCTGCTGCCTACACTGTGCCTGGCCCCAGGCAATGCTATTCATTCCTCACTTTTACAGAAGCAAAATACACCCCCTAAAAATATAAAGTACAAAAATAAATAGGCTTCCTGGGAAGTGGAAGGGAAATCGGTTTTAAGAGTGAACAAGCCTATATTTTCTTGGGGGGGGAAGGAAAAAAGCCCACTTTGCATTGTTTTCTAAGATTTACACTTCAATTTGAAACCAAATTAAGGCATAAAATTTGTATGAAAGTAATATCTGATTTATAGATAACACAATATATACTTCGCTGCAAATAACAGACCCCAGTGAGAGAAGGAAGAGGTCTGAAAGATGATTAAAGTATGCCTGATAAACATTGCCCTGAAATGCCCCCAAAAGATTTTTCTGAAGTTAAACAGTAAACACAATTAACATGACTTTTGCTACAAAAACACTAAACACAATGGATTTTTTTTAATTAATTTTCAATGTTATTACATGCTCCTATTGAGCTATAATTGACTCCATCTACTAATTGTATTCTGAGACAGCTTTTCTCTCCAAATGACCTTACCATCTAGTTGAAAAGACAGGCAGCCGTATCTGTTGTCCAGACAAATAGGAGGTGATACAATAAAAGTGATTTTATGACCACCAAAATTAAGACTGTGTGGATGAAGATTTTGTGATAGTTCAAGTATTTTAAGAAGTTTATAAGACTCAAATTATGTGGAGATTGATTAAATGTTTTATTAATTAACCAATAAAGAGTACCAGCTGCAAAGGCTTACAAGGATACATTGCTGTACACAGCCTAACTTCCATATTCAAACAAACCTAGCTAAAGGCAAATAATATAATTCTTGGGAGTCCTGCATGCCTTAGGACTCATTAGATTTACATATTATTACTCACAGCAGACATTTCATCACATTTTGAGAAAATGGACCATCTATACAGGTGTCATATGTGCATGAATTTCTGTGTTGTATATACTGTGTAACTTATGACCAAGTTGTTTGGCCTTCAGGTATCTTAGAAGATAAAACAGACCAGAGACTGCTCATTCACATGAGGTCAACTCAGATGGCAAAGCTCGCATTCTCCCTTTTAACTCTGACAAAACTCTCCCCAAAACAGCAGGACCAAATCCAAATAGCCAATAGTCCATCTCCCAGAGTGCTTGCAGGCATTACCTTGGTGAATGCAAGTTGAAACAAGCCAAAACTGGGCCAATGGACCGTGCTAACGGGTGATGAGGATGTCACTGAACTGCAATTTGGCTCATGCCCCAACTGTTCAGTTCACTCCCATGTCATGCTTCGGTCACGCTACTTGAAACAAGCTGCTGACACACACCATGACAGCAAGGCTGAAAGAAACCTCCAGAGTTCACCCAGTCCATACACTCCACAGAGACCAGTCCTTTGATGCCACTGGTGCATCAAAATATGTTCCCATTCTTATCAAAAGCTGCATCTGAGCCAGAAGGTCTTTGCTACAGAATAGTTCCAAGTAAAATGTGCTTTTCTCCTAACAAGCAAGCCTTTGAAAGAATAACTTACCATTTTGGTCTGCTTGTGGATTTCACCATTGGAGCCATCCCATCTCTGTAAAGGCTTTTTGTTTTGCTGAAGTTAACAACATTGAAAATTACCCTCTGGAAAAAAAAAAAAAAAAAAAGAAAAAAAAAGAGTTCAGGTATAAGTTATGAAATACTAATGCATACTGCATATGCCAGCTGCATAAAAACATACAGAAAATACATGGAATAGACATGTATCTTATGCTTTTATGCTTCAAGGTACTTTTAGTCTCAGTAGATCTCATAACAGATACCATGTCTGTTCCCAGTATTTTGATTGTCCATGTTGTTTTACAAGAGTAATGTACATGGAACATATATTTTGAATTTAGTATGCTTGATTTCCAATAGGTATTCTAACCAAACGGATAGTTTACTCAGATTTGAAAACAGAAATTAAGTCCAGTTTTCTGCAGTTAATGTAAGAGAGGTTGGTGGAAATCTGAGGGACAGGAAAATGGTCCTCATGAAAAGCTTCCAACTGCTTCATCTCTTAAAGCTTCTTAGTTACCTCTTTCTACCCGCCAAAGCAGCAGGAAAAGTTAGATCTGATTTTCTTTCACCAGAGAAAATATTTCTCTTCATGCCCCCTGACAAAAGGAAAAATTTTCTTCTGCAAAAACTGCACAGTATACCAGAAATTGCACATAGCCATCATATGTTTGAATATCATAGATAAGGAAAAAGGCACAATTCTGATCTTAGCAAACATTGATAACTTTAGTAAGTCGAGTCTGTAGCTGGTACTTAATGTTTCAAAGGAAGAGAAAAATCTAGATCCTTACTGGTAATGGACTTACACCAAAAGTAGATTCATGCTGAGAGAAGAAAAAGACAAAGCCTTCTTCCTTACCATCTGTCTACCGTAAATTGTTTTATGGATAATTATTTTTGCTTTTTCTGTTAAGAAAGTCTAGCTGGGACCTAGTTCATTTCATCCATTAACTTTAGAGATATTAAATCCATTATACCTGGTTTCTCATATAGTTCTGATATCCAACATTAATGTACACAGAAAAACTAAAACATGAACACTGAATTCATTTTCATAGATCATAGAATCATTGAGGTTTGTTTGATAAAATGTTCTAGGATGTACTAATACATTCCATTTGTATCTCTCTCACTAAATCTATTTTCCACTGGTATCAGTGAAGACTGCCAAAAATTATATTTGTGCCTGTGTTTTCACACATTTATTTTTAAAATGAACTATTATAATATTTACAGTTAAATAATGGTTCATGAGAAGACTGAGAATTAAATGGCCACATCTTAGAATCACGAAATTTTGACTGAAGTAAAAAAATTGAATTAAGCTTTCATATGTAAAGTTTCACAAAAACAAATCTGGGACTTTTCAGCCAATGTGTTCAGAAAATAGCATGTTAAAACTTAATGTTCCTCTGCTGGTTGCTTCCACTTAACAGGTGCCAGGTACAGTTACATTTGTATGTGGGGCAGATAAGAATCCAGGCAAACTATATAGCTTTAATTAATCATCTCTGTACTTGAGAAAAATTAAGAAGAGATGAAGGGTTTGTCAATGGAAGAACAAGCTGCTACATATGCAAACTCTGCAAATTAGTCAAACAAAATCTAATAATCTGTAGATTTCACTGGAAGTGACTCAAAATTAAGAAGTTGAAAAAAAACACTCTTGAAGCTGTTGATTCAATTTTGAATCAATTTTAATGAGTAAGCTACATATCTGTGCACATGAGTTTTCATGTACTTAGCAGTATTTTGAGTTTTTCTAAGGGTTATGAGTTTGGTTTATTTTTATAACTCTTGATATACGCATGCATTTGACTTACAGAACTCTGTATTTGTTATTGTATGTATTTAAGATGTTGCTTATTTGATGAAATATACATCTTGAGAGGTCTCTGGTTATTTTCCATCTTATGTTTACAATGTATAGCTTTAAGTTGGATAATTATATTTAGATCTATATATAAATGCATAAATTTCATAATACATATGGAATCATTTTTCTGTATTAGAATACTGAATTTTTCCTGTTACTTAACTCTGTTCATATTTGTGAAAACAAATTAAGTTGCAACGCATTGGTTTGTTAATCTTGATGTTTGCACAGAGTGAATGAAACAAACAAGATCTCCAAACCAATTGCCTTAAACTTTGGATGCAATCATGCCACTGTTGGAAAGAGAAAGTTGCTAATTTTGTTACATACTGACTCAGAGCAGACAGCTGGTAGAGAATGTTCTTATTCCAATCAGGCTTATTTTGTATAATGAGTTCGGCAAATGTACACAACTGGGTAAGCAACATATATAAAAACAAAAATATGCAGCTCATTTAACAAAGCACTGCAGATTATAACATTTCCACCACTCATGTTCACCGCAGAGTAAGCAGTTAGCAATGTGTGCATTTCTCTCAGCATGGTATATAGTTAGATTGGCAGAACCAAAAATTTAGCAGCACAGAACAGAACTTTATCAACACACACCACTGAAGTAATAAAGTAGACAAACTGAAGCGCTCAAATAAGCAGCTGAACTCAGTCAAGTATTCCAGGTGATAGTTAAAGTAGTCCATGCAGCTCGGTCAGTGAAGTGTGCAAAAATGTAATGACTACAGTATACACACCTCAGCCAGAAAAAATATGCAGCTTGCTCAATAAGGTATGCAAACATCTTTGACCCGAATGCCATAATAAAAGTTTGTGATACAGCGAGCAAACATTTGCTGAACAAATCTACATTTTAGTCTAATTTTGGCCAAAACAGACATTCTTAACATGCCAGTTATAAACTGTTAAAAGCAACAATGCCAGATATACACTATTTACATTGAAACACTCTTTCCTAAGAAAATATTCACGCTGTACTTTTTCATTAATTATAGAGACTGACAATATGTGACATTTAATGAACAATATAATCTAGGTGTTAAAAAATAAATTAAAAAGAAGTTTTTTGTTTTTTGTTTTTTTTTTAAAGAAGCATGAAGTTAAGAAACTAAAACTAGATAAAACATGCTTATAAATTCCCTAGAAATTGCTCTGGTCTCCAGAGTACCAATCCAGAGAAAAACGACAAAGAAATTTACAATAAAAATACTTCCTTGTATTCACTTTAGAGCATAAGAATACCACTAGAAGAAGCAATATACTAACTTACACTGTACCAAAAACAGTAATTATGTGATTTCACTTCAGTTATGCAGTATTTTCAATCTACAGCATCATTCTGACAAACGGTTGCAACAGTAGGTGGAACAAGCACAATGCAGAAAAGTCTCCCAGGAGACTGCCAAGTACAACCAAACCATTCTGGGGCATACAGCAGGTTGTGCTGAAGGTATAGCAACATGAAGGTGTCTGCTGCAGTATCAGGCTGTGTGCATGGGTTGTCAGATCTGATACAGCTGTTGAAAAACACGAGACTGCACAGATACATTATGCCTACTGAAAGAAGGATGATGTCCTCTTTCCGTAACACCTGCACTAAGTGTCGGAGGTATCTTTCGGTTAAAATCACTAAGACAGAAAAGAGAAGACTTGGTCTTGCCTTTTCCTTAACATTTACTGGTGAAGTGTTCTTTTTCCAGTAGACCTTTGAAAATTTATTTCAGGAATTAAAAATAATCAGCTGTTAAGGGATGCTCTGTGTTTTTTATTTTAGCATGAGGGAGATAAAGACAAACCTTGAACACAAACAGAAAAAGCTGACTAAAAATTATCACACATTTTCTCATTGCCACAACTTTTTCAAAATTTCCTGACTGCAGTTGGAAGAAACTGCTGATTTTTGGAGGGGAATAGCACACGTCAGGATGGTTTGGGATCAGAGCTGGAAGTGTTAAGCATGGATGGTCATATTGGACATTGTATTCCAACAGGTCCATGTAAACATTAAAGAAAAAACTTATATACTCATTGTAAATCACTCATTCTGGCAGGTTTTTCATCTGAACCTACCAACTGAAACAGATCTCCAACAGACAAGTCATCACTTCACCGAAGGCTAAGTGCCTTCCCCCAGGAGAAGGTCACCCTTGGTCCTTTTAAAAATACTGCCAAGTTGATTTTTGTATGATTTTCCCTAGCAAACTGATTAGGAATAACAGAGTTGCTGTGGTTGACAGTATAAGAAGAAAACAAACAAACAAACCAAAAAACACCACAAAATTCAGCCTGAGGAAGACACCTGGCACAGAAAATTTCTTGTCAAATTCTTGCAAATATGAGAAATTATAACTAATTGGAAGCAGGGTTAATAATAGGAAGCATTAAGCATTCTTTGTATTTAAGTAACACGCTTTAAGGACTATATATACATGTATTTGATTTTAATAACATAACGACAATGCACAGGACAACGCTGCATGCTACAAGTGTGATACAACTTTCCCTATAAGCTGATAAAGTGCATAAGGACTAAGAATTCAAAGTCAGGCAGGAACAATTTCATCATTCAACCAACTAAAGTGAGCTGGACATGAAGTAGCAATGCTAAGACCTTTCAGCTGAAACCAAGTCTGACCTCTTGCACTCTGAATAAGCATTAAAGATCCAGAGATTCCAGATACTATGGGGCTTTACTTCACTTTCACCCATTGACTTCCTCTCCTGCCATTTTTATTTACTTTTTAACATACTATGGTGTTTGGGGAATTCCTGAAACCTGCAGTGTTTTGTGAGCTAGGATATCCTTTAAAAAAAAAAAAAAAAAAAAAGAGAGAGAGAGAGAGAAAAAAGTAATCTCCTTCCTCTTTCTTTTACAACTGCAAGTTTTCCTCCCTTGTAAGAGCATATCTACTTCAGAATTATATTCTATCAAAATAATAATAATAAAACCAGAAGTCAAACAAATGAACTTCTTAAGCTAGCCCCATGAGTTGTGAGATTACAACTCATTATTTCTAAACATGAGAAACTAATGACATCAGATTACTGTCTTCTCTCAAAAAAGGGCAGTATTTCCATATTTGTGTCAGGAGGTTTTGGGGATTTTTCATGACAAAACATCTTATATAAAGTTATATAATAATAAACTATACTAGAGGGACTCCAAAACAGAGAATGGAAAACAAACAACAAC